CAAGTTACAAACGTCGGTTAAGAGCTCTGTCTTCAAACAGTACGATGAGGCAGAGGGTGTTTTATTTATTACCATGAGCGTGACGGCTTTACAGTAGAATGATCAGGTTGGCATGGCTTGTGATACGCCGTGCGGGGCATACAGCTTGCAGTTTGCCTCTTTGCCCCAGGAGGAACAAGGCTCAAGCTTTGACCGTTTTGTACGCATGCCCATATATCACCTCGGAGAAGGTGTTCGGCATCTCGGGTATGTATATAGTCACGCTGTTGTGTTAGTTGTGTAGGGATGGCCTCACTGCATACCCATGAGAAATACCCTGCGCATTTGTACGCCCGCTTCGCAGTGCACTTGAGCTGCATTGCTTGCGCTCCGTTTGGTTTTGTGGTAGGGCGAGGCAGACATCATACAGTTTTTGCGGCGCTGGGTTACGGGTGCCTGCATGCCCTGCCTGCTCCTGCTGCCTAGATTACGGCTCCACTCCTGCAAAGCATTTGTGAGTGCACACTAGGCAGTGGTCGAGCCCCCAGCTTGAATTCATTCCTTGCTAGAGGTACGTTCGCTTCGGACTTTGCACCTCCGGAATAAAAAATAAACTCTAACTTCTGTGTATGAAAGATCTCTTCAAGATCCATCCGAAGACCTCGAGTAGCAACATAAATCGAAGGGGCAGGCGGTGCAACTCGTGCGTCAGGCTGTAGTCGCCCTTGGCCGCGGCGTCGTACGCCTGCCTGAAAATTCCAAGTCGCTTCTTCTCATGCCAAGTGCGTGCAAGATCGCATCCCACGGACAGGTAAGCATGTGCACACTTGGTTCCCTACCTTGCTAAACTGTCAGGCTGAGGTGAGTCACGGCTTGTCCCTGCTGTGGTCGCTCTTGGACAAATTAGGGCGGTACAGTATCTACAGTATTCCTCTGATCACAGCTGCAAAGCACCGGGCGGCCAAGGGACACCAACATCCACTCTCGAGGAATGTACTTGGGATTCGTCGCGCGGATCCGCTGTGCGGCCGCTGCAGTGCCGCCCTCCGCTGTAAGAGCACTTCGCAGGCCTGAGCTCCAAAAAGGCTTCAACACGAAGCAAATCACCTTCCGAGCAGGATAAGGCAAACATGTTCATGTCTCGAAGTGTAAGTTGGAGTGTTTTTGAGTAGGCCTGAGATTGTCAAAGCCGATTGCCTCTACTCTTGCGTCAGGTTTCGCCTGCAGCCTACAGGGCCTACGGGTCTGAGGTGGCTCTTCTGGGGTCCAGCTGGGATACGTCGCAGCCACACCAACCACTGGACCCGGACGTCCGGCTTTGGGGCGTCGTAGAATGCCCTGCTGACTGTCGCCTCAGACTGCCGCAGTGCAAGCCTCGACTCTCGAAGACAAGTACGGCGTCGTAGCTCGCTTTGTGCAGCCCAGCCCTTCTTTAAGACATCCGATGAATCCCCTCCGAAAAGTGCCGCAGCGCCTATGCCCGGCCAAGCTAGTCACAGCGAGTCTGTGTAGTCAGGGCCAAGTGGCAAACAGAGCCTCCCCACTGGAAATGAACTCCAGGTTCTCAGGTTTCAGCGCTTTGTCTCCATCCTCGGCACTGAAAGCTGTGGAGCCGAAACACCGGTGGTGTCGCCAGGAGATGATTTCTAGGATGGCAGACTTTGTTTGCCAATCTATGGCAGAGAGAGGAATGGTTTCTCACCAATCCCTCACTGTCAATGATACGGGCACTCTCCTTCAAGTCTGTTCTGTTGAGAAGGAGACCCACAATAGAAACGCGGTGCTGGTATCGGTGAAGAACGAAGCGAACCCGGAACAGTCACATTGGAGTGTCAGAAAAATTGTGGGCCCAAGATGGGCCCGAACTTTTGCCACTCTTGTATTCTATTCAGCACGCCTTAAAAGAAGGTACACCCGGTTGTCAGAAAACCCAAAAGTCCCAAATCCCTCAAACACCCCGGACCGTTGGAAACCCGTTTTAGAAACCTTCAGAAACCCCGTTGCTTTAGACTCTTCTCTACTATTATAGCTCTTATAGCTCTTACAGTTAAGTCTTATTGATCCTTAACCGGCTGGGGACCGCCGTCACCACCGCCCATCGGCCGCTGCTGGAGACGAACTCGCCACATGTGGCGAGGCTGCCTAGGGCTTGGGGTTTGGGTTTAGGGTTTAGGGTTTAGGGCTTCCTGGGAGATTTTGGGTTCCAGGGCTGGGAGCTTCTCAGATTCGGTAGGGTGTAGGCTAGGGCAGGGATCTAGAGCCAAAGGGGGCTGCTACGACTTGGGGTTTATAAGCTGTATTTCAGGTTTCGTCCGAAGGGCTCTATGACACTATTAGGGTTTAGGGTTTAGGGTTCAGGGTTTAGGGTTTATTCCCGTCAGGATTCCGAGTTCCAAAGCTTTCAGAGAGGTGTTAAGCCATTTGTAAGGGGCTTAGGGTTTCGGGCTTAGGGTGGGCTCATGGGGTCTTAGGCAAAGGCCCCGGCGGAGACCCAGAGATTTTCTGAACTGACATGTTCAGGGCCTTTCGGGCTTTCCAAGTCTGAGGTGGAAGCTGTAATGATATTTCGGACAACCTGGAGAGGGTTGATAGCCCTCGGAGTGTCAACCCATGGCAAGTAGGATGCAGGATCGCTGAGGGCCTGTAGCCCCTTGTTGCAAGCAAGTGGCCATTCAGCTCTGCCGCACTCTTCAATCCGTTGATACGAACCAAGCTTCCTTTTCGAGCGAGATGCACACACACACACGGGTTGGAACGTCAGCGGGCATGCACAGCATTGAAGGCATGCCGCGTACGGCCTACAAAGAGCTCCGGAATCGAAAGCCCGCGGTCCTGGTACCAGATCGCTCCCGGCTGCACCGTCTTCGGTCACTTCCAGAGCATCTGCGAGCTGCCGGAAGAAGATGGTGTAATCCTGAGGCATCGGCAAGAAAAAACGGGCCTTGTTAATTGGAATGGGGCTTTGGAGCACAGTACAACGCAGCGACGTGGCTATGTAGGAATCAAGTTTGTGCCTGTCGATCCGCGGTGCCCTGTCCGTTAGTGATTAGTAGTCAGTTGCCAGCACGCAGGGACCTTGGCCCCCGTCTAGCAGAGACATTCTTAACTTGGATGTTGCCTTTCGGGGAACTCCTGCAACGACAGTGGAAGAACCGTTGAAGCCAAGACAAAGACAGCAGGAGGAACAGCTCTGCTATAGAGACCAGGACGAGAATCCCGGAGTGCAAAAGCAGCTAACCTCGATCTATCCGAGCATCCACGGCGAAGCGCATCGCAGCCTGACATCGAATGGTCTGGGAGACGTGCTTCAGCCAGCTGAGGTGTGTAAGAAATGATGTGACTGCTTGGCCTCTACTTGCGACAGCTTCAAAGCCCTGGCCCGTGTGTTCCGACCTGCACATCGGCCCAGAGGCTGTCGGCCAATTTTGCAGCATCGCCGCTGACACTGGGAAAGCCCAGCTTGGCCCGCCACATCGCCGACACGGTGGAGTTCATCTCCTGTTTGCCAAAAAATCCAACACTCGACAATGACCAAAACTCTGCATTGAAGCGACTTCGATCAATAGGCTACTCATAGCCAGTGATCTAGATGTGATCTGATGCGGCATGCTTTCGGTCGCAAGGTTGCTTTGCTGACATGGTGGTAAGATGATAACTCCGCAAAGTCCCTCGTCTCCTCCTGGGCTGCCTCAGCAATCTCCTGCAGGATAGACCTTCGGAAAGAAGCCACGAGTTTCGGCTCAAAGACTCTTGTGGATCGGTGCGGAAAGCGCTGACACACTCAATGACATCCGACGAGGGCGGTTCTCACAAGGCACCCATGCCGCCGCAGCATGGATGTGTAGCGTGGGTTTCGCACGGTTTCCCCCAACCGTCCAGCCCTTGATTCCCGGTTCTTCGATCATACTCGCCGCTTTGCTATGCCGTGCACAAAAAGGCATGTGTCGCCTCTGGTCGCGAGGTGTCTTCGGCTCTAATGTGTGGTTTCGAACCCCCGACTCCCATGCCTTTGAGGCGAGGTCTCGCAAGCTCTTTCTGCGACATGGCTATGAATCGCCAAACCCAGAATATCTGGAGCCACGGACGGTGCACCCGAGCAGCGGGGCATCCTTCCCCAAGAGCGGCTTCATTGCGATGGCGAGGGTCATGAAGTTCGCCAATCCAGCTTCGGGCTGATTCCTGGCCGAGAAGAGGCGTAGACAGAAACATGGACGCTCTTCTGCGCAACAGCGCTTGACAAACGCAGGACCGCCGTCCTGAAGGCAAAGTGATTGCCTGAGCCCACCCATTTCGCGAACATAGGGTCGTAGCCTCACCATCTTGCCAGCACAGCTAACGCAGCCTGTGAAAACAACTTGAACTGAAAAGTTCTGCAAACTTTTTCCCACAACTTTTTGACCAATGCACAAAACCTTCATACGTCATCTCCAGAGAAGTCGGCCAAGCAGGGATGCTCAATACCCAGGGCAATAAGCCGTCCCAAACCTTCCTACAGTACATCAACATCCTACACCTGGACCGAATTCAAGCGGCGTTCGATCCAGCCGAAGGGGCCTCACAAGACGGGATCTGCAGATTGGGAGTAGTGTTATTGCCCCTTCAACACTGCCGCGTTCAGCTCAAGCAGAGTCAGTTCGCATGTCTTCTGGGTATCGAACCACGGTGCAAGATGCTTGGTCATGCACCCCAAACGAAGTGCCGGCAAAGCGTCCGTAGTCCATCGTCCGGCCACCTAACAAGGCACCCGATAGTTTGCGCTTGGGCCCTGTCTTCTTTCTTAAAGTGCAGGGCGACCTTTCCGGCCTGCACGTTGGTAACATCCGATCGTCATCAGGGCAGTTTGCGAAAACTAGCGTCAGTCAACAAAGCAGCTGCTACTGTTCGGGGTGGTCCTTGCTAACATATCCGAGAGAGAGCAAAGGATGGTCGCGTAATCGCAATCGCGCTCATCCGCTCTGATTTAGTGGCAATGGTCCATCTGCTGCAGAGGAAGGGGCAAAATATGTGATTCAGGTGTTTTATTGGAGGTCAGACGCCTCTGACGGCGCAAGGATACCTACCAGCATACGACAAACAAAGGTAATCCAATTGTCTGGAAGGGAATACAGGGCCGAGGCCCCCTTGCCACGGCATGCCAACAATGCCAGTGCTCAGAAAAGGTAATTGCAGTAATTCCCTCACGACTGTCTGGTGCTTAGTAGGGCATGGGGGAATGGATCCCTATGATAGTCCCTTAAGGTCCCTTATAATAGTCCCTATAACCCATTCCCCCATTCCCTACTAAGCACCAGACAGACGAGCTTGCAATGGAGTCGCCGACCAAGCAGTTGTCAGCATTGAAGTTGCCCTGGCAGAAACCCACGCGCAACCATCCGGCAATCCTGAGCTCGGATTCCGAAGAGTGTATGGCAGTTTCCGAAAACAAGGGGTACCTCATTTTGGGGTCCTTATAATAAGGATCCTACTATTTAGGGTACTATATTAGGGTACCCTATTTTCAGAAACCCCCGTATTGAGGACTCAGTGGCACTGCAGCAGAGTCGCAAAACCGCAGAGCTGCATTGAAAATGCTTGGTGACATATATGACATCACTGCACCTATCCGAAATTGTCATGCGAATGCCAAGTGTCAGCACGCTGAAGCGCTTAGCTGCCTGCGAACACTGCGCGAGGTCATTATAACAAATGCGCTGGCGCTAAAAGCACACTACCCTTATAGTAAACCTTATAGACCCCTTGAAAGGAAACCTATCAAAGCCCCTACGCAGTTCACTGAAAGGCTCTTGGAATCCGAGCAGAATCTGATGGTGCTTTTTTCAAAGGTGCGACGATGATCTTAGGGGGCTTCGGGTTTAGGATATTCATTCGGTTCTGAAGCGTGTACCGCGTACAAACCACGCACTGCAGTCGCTTGTTATACAGCAAGGGGACATTCTGTCATGGGATCTCGTGCACTATACCTTCGATTCATACGTACATATGCAGACTATACTGCTTTGCATTCCAGAGGCTGTGCGCGCTAAGCAAGTAATTTATTCTCAGCTCATCCTCATGCAAAGTGATCAGAATGTATTACAACGAACCGAAAACAGGGGCGAGGGCAGGACCCCGATAAACCCTCACAAAACCCTCTTACATCGAAGACTACGCGCTACAAACTATCAGGTCCTACACCCAACGCCTCACATAGGAAGCCCTGACTCCTAAACCCTGAACCCTNNCCCCCCCCCCCCCCCCCCCGAGTGACGCACCTCGCGAAGCATCGCCGCCGCTCTCGCCGGCAGGGGAGATCCAGGAAGGCAGTCCTGGGATCTTTCTATAGGTAGTATTATTAGGGATACCCCTTACAAAGGGTACCCCTTCTGAACCCTACTTTTGGCTCTCTTGAAAGGGACCTTATTGAGAGGGTCTATATCCCCAAGGGTCCCCCTAATCCTAGCTCCCATTCTAAGCAATTGGGTTTTTAGGGTTTAGGGTAAAGAGGGTATTTAGGATTTAGGGTTTTGGGGGTTTAGGGGTTTTTAGGGGTTTAGGGTTAGTGCCGTACTTTATGTAACCTTTGTAGCACCCCTACAGTAACCCCATACACCAGGTTGCAGGGGTCTCAAGTCTTAGGGAATGAAGTTCAGCGGGGCAGTGGGGAGTTGGGACACGTCAGGGTCCCCGTTTGGACTCGTGACCACCATGTACGCCATGAGCTCCCAATACAACGGTAGGTGCCTTGATTTCAGTCCGACCTTTTTGCAACACCGTCTAGCCAAGCTGCCGGGTACTCGCGGAAGAGAGCGTGCTCCACGATCAGCTCATGCTCCTGAGGTGCTCAGCAGCAAGATGGTTGAAGCTTTTAGCTTTGGGCTTTGCGGTCAGTCATTTCGGGCATTTATAGTGCTCGTGGAAGCTAGGGTTCGGGCTGATCATAGTTTAGGATCCAACCCTCGCAATTTCGGTCTGCAGCTCCCTGAAACGAATCGTAGATATCACAGGAGCCTCGTGCAACATGTTGGCACATGTTCACAGACATGTCTGTCTGCATATCTTTGTCTATGATTTCAATATGCATGCACATATATGTCCTAGATACTTATACGTTATATCACTGCCTGCCTTGATCTGCGCGGGCGTCGCCTAGGACAGATCGAGAAGGCACAGAGGTGGTTCACACGTTGGCAAGCGTCGAATCCACACATCAAGAGGCTGCAGCTCCGTGTTTTAAGCAGCTTCTAACTCCAATGTTCGGGAATCTCGGACTGGAACCCGTTCTTACGTACGCCTCATGACCCAAGACCCCGCAATTGCCGAGGTGCCGAGGAGTGGGACGCCCTCCTGATCGTGTCTATACACTATAAGGGTGCGGGCGCATAGGGCGCCGTGTTACGTTGCATTCTTAACAACAGTGCAGGAAACCCAGGGTTTAGCACGATTTTCAGATAAACATGGTTGTCGCACCTGCAAGAAACTATTGCAACTGCACTCAGATATTATCAGTTTTGTGGTGATCATCATCGTCGTCATCATCGCCATCACGATATCGTTGCGCACTATGTTGTGCAAAGTGGCAAGACGCTAGAAACAGAAGGGCTTTGGGCATGCTCGCACAAGGCCAGTACGAGTATGTTGCATTAAGTGGAACGCGCTGTACATACCTGCAGTTTGGGCATGGTCGCCGTCAGAACCGACGTCATTGTGCCTCCCCAACCCTCCACACCACCCCAACCACATGGAATCGTCCGAAAGGTCCTGAAAATGCAAGAAAACCAACAAAAGTAACACGGCAGCCTATATGTGCCCGCTACCTTCCACAACTGTTCTATCAGGGTGGACGGTGGAAGGCCTTGAGGACTTAATTGAGGATGATAGGAGGTTGCTTTGTGGGCTCATCCCGCTATCTTACTTTGGCTGGGCTGGTCTTTATTTTGGCTGGGCTGGTCGAGCTCGGCACAGCCTGGAGCCACCGGGACGTTGCAGAAACCCCTAAACCCAACAGCAGCTCTCCTGGCGAAAAGGTCGACATGGCCGACTCGCAGAAAGCTTGGCGCCACACGCGTCGTGATCGCGCAGGTCTCATGGATCATCATGTCCTAGGATCGGAGCAGACTGAATCCACATGCAGGGGATGGGCAACTGGTGGTTTATTTCTCCCAAGCGGCTGGATCCGAATCGCGATTCTGGCTGGAATACCTTGGCGACGTTGCAAGGGTGGGGCTGCCCTGCACTGGTTTTGCCTGACTGCCTCCTGCCTCTGTGCATGATGTAGTGTAGGGGCCTTATACTCTAGTTATAAAAAGGACCCCCCCCCAAATAGTATGGCTAATTAATTTAGCTCCGTACATGATGTAATGTAGGGGCCTTATACTATATCTATAATAAGGAACCCCCCCGAAAATCGTATGGATAATTAATTTAGCTCCGTACATGATGTAATGTAGGGGCCGTATACTATATCATTATAATCAGGAACCACACCAAAAAGAAGAAATTTAGGGCCTGACCAAACCCTAAACCCTAAACCCAAACTAAACCCCCAAATCCTGAACCCAAAACCCTCGACCCCACCCAATAAACCCGAAACCCCCAAACCCGTTCTGAGGTCCTTGTTTTTTATTGCGGCCCAGCAGCCAAGGCCGTTCGGCCATCTCGCCGCCGTCGGAGACCACCAGGGAGAGAGCCCGGGTGGTGTCCACTCCAAGATGATACATTGCCTGTTGAGGGCTTATAGGGTTTATAGGGTTTATAGGGTTTGTAGGGTTTAGGATTTAGGGTGTAGGGTTTATAGGGTTGGATGTTCAGGGGATCAGACTTCACAACCTTGCAAAAGACTGCGCAACTGTTGCTGCAGTGCTGCCCGTTGGTCACACTTCGACATTGATGCCCCATCACACAACCGGCTTCGCTATCCGTGGACTTGCAACCGGCAGAATTCCGGTTATCCGCGATCGAACTCCTCAACATAGAGAACCAATGAGGAATACGGAAAGTCTGTTACCGGTGGCACCGACGATTGTCGATGCTCGCCTCCGATGCCAGGAACTCGCGAATCGAAGACCGCAGCACTGCACGGCCATCCGCGCCACGGCAGAATGGAGTCTGCCCACCACCCTGGCTGTTGACTTCGTGCTTGACAGCTCTCGGCACCCACATTGAGCTGCAAAGCAAACAGCGATTACTCTCGTCTGCTGTTGAGATGCGACGCAAACTCCCCAGTTCTGGGCCGTAAACAAAGCTCATGCACTGCCTTGGGCAATTCCTCCACTGCTACGGCTACGGCTACGGCTGCTGCTGCTGCTGCTGCTGCTACTACTAATACTGCGATCACCACTACCACGACCTCAGCCTGCTGCTGCCATACTGATACTGATACTGGTACTGGTACTGGTACTGCTACTACTGCTGCTGCTGCTGCTGCTACTACTACTACTACTACTACTACAACTACTACTACTACTACTACTACTACTACTACTGCTGCTACTGTTACTGC